TGCCATCCAACCAAAGGTGCTAAGAGAGCTGGCTGATGTTGTTGCGAGGCTGCTCTCCATAATCTTTGAGAAGTCATGGAGATTGGGAGACGTGCCCGACAACTGGAAGAAGGCTAATGTCACCCCTATATACCAGAAGGGTTCCAAGGAGAACCCAGGTAATTATAGGTCCATTAGCCTCACATCGATCCCTGGGAAGATTATGGAGCAAATCCTCCTGTGTCGTATCACCAGTAGAACACGTGATTGGAAAAAGGCAACATGGATTCACCAGGGGCAGATCATGTTTAACAAATCTGATTGCTTTCTATGACGGAGTGACCCGTTTGGTTGATGTGGGGTGAGCGGTGGACTTTGTCTACTTGGACTTCTCCAGGGCTTTCAACATGGTCCTCCACAGCCTCCTCCTTGAAAAGCTGACAGACTACAACGTAGATAAGTGGTCTGTGCGGTGGCTGGGGAACTGGCTGTTGGGCTGTCTCCAGAGGGTGGTAGTGAATGGTTCATTCTCTAACCAGCTACCAGTCACAAGTGGAGTCCCTCAGGGATCAATATTGGGCCTGACACTATTTAGTATCTACATTAGTGATATTGGAATCAGAAGCTCCTTGATGAAGTTTGCTGATGACACCAAAATGAGTGGGGTAACTGACACTCCAGAACAGAGAGCCACCCTCCAGGAAGACCTGGACAGACTGGAAGAGTGGGCTAGCAGGAACTGTAAGAAGTTCAACATGGACAAATGTAAGCTCTTGCAACTGGGAATACATAATCCAAGAATACAGCTGAGACTGGGTTCCACCTGGCCAGAGAGCAGCACTGTGGAAAGGGACCCTGGGGTCTTGGTGGATGACAAGCTCCACATGAGTGAACAGTGTGCTGCAGCTGTAAAGAAAGCCAACAGGATGCTGGGTTGCATAAAAAGGGCATCACCAGAAGAGACAAAGAAGTCATTATCCCGCTCTACTCAACACTGGTCAGACCACACCTTGAGTACTGTGTCCAATTTTGGTCACCGCTATACAAAAAAGATGCAGACAGGTTGGAAGGGGTCCAGAGAAGGGCCACAAGGATGATCAGAGGATTGGAAGAGCTGACGTACAAAGAAAGGCTGAGCAAATTGGATCTGTTCAGCCTTGGGAAGAGAAGGCTTAGGGAGGACCTTATCACCATGTAACAGTACATAAAGGGTGGCTACCAAGAAGATGGAGACTACCTTTTCACAAGGAGTCACATGGAAAAGATGAGGGGGATAGGACACAAGTTGCTTCTGGAGAGATTCCGATTGAACTCCAGAAGAAATTTTTTTACCATGAGATAAATCAGACATTGGAATAATCTCCCAGGGGAAGTGGTAAATTCTCCTACATCAGTCAGTTTTAAGAGTCAGCTTGATAGGATGATGACTCATCTCATTTAAACTATACTTTTACCTCGAGAGGGTGGACTGGATGATCCTTGTGGTCCCTTCCAACCTGGTATTCTATGATTCTATTGTACCTCCAAGTGAGTCCTGTGGCTTACATAGCCAAAGCCCTGGCCCTGACACCACTCCCTTAACCATTTATTGATTTTCCCTATCCGATCTGCCCTTTCAAACCTCTTCCCTTTGACTGGGAGGATTGATTAAAATATTACCTGTGCTCCCGAGCCCTTCACCACTGTTACAAGTAGTCCCTCTTGATGGTCTTCAGATTACTTGCAGCTGTGTCACTCGTGCCCACGTGAAACAGCAGCAGTGGGTAGTAATCAGTGGGATGTACAAGGTCTGGCACCCTATCTGTAACATGCCTGATGTGGGCCCAGCAAGCAGCAGGCTTCTCTTGACAGGGGGTCAGGATGGCAAATGGGTGTACTCTTCAGCGGAGCGTTGTTGACTACTATGACCAGACACGTTTTCTTGGTGGTACTATTTGCTAGGGGGTCTAGGAAAGCTTATCTGTTAGGGTGGTCTAGGAAAGCTGCTTGATTTGCAGAGGTTAGTTAGCTCCTTCAAGCTCAAGGATGGTTCATCTTGGCAAAGCCGTAAATCAAGTAAAGGTGACAGAAGGCCAAAATTATGAACAAGGGACTCCTGAAGAAACTTACAAATGGTAAATACAAAGAAACCACACATGATTCAAAGACTTTGTTTTGATGTCCCGTAGCTGGAGATTACTAGTGGGAGGTATTATTTCTAGTCTTCTGTTCCTATTCTTGTTCTTCATGCTTCTGGCCACTGTTTGATACGAAGTTAAAAGGATCTTTGTTCTTACCAAAGAAACGTGAACAATCTTACCTCCTCTGTGCTCTGAGACAAAGAGAAGAACATAATGGTAAGCTTAAATGGAAACATCTAAATATAGTAGATTAATCCCCAGTTGCTCGACTTGAGCTGACAATCAGATGTATAAAATGCCATGCTTGCAAGATCCAAGATCTGATGTGGAATGTTGGGGTATCTGGTCTTGCATAGAAAGGTCTGAGTGATTCTGGGAATCAAATCTGTGTCTGCAGAAAAAGAGACAATGCAGGGCATCATGTTTCCACCTGCAAGAGAAGTCAGTGAGACAATTTTTGTGTAGTGGTTCACTCTTTTTCAACCACTGTGGTACGTAGTTCACACAGTGGTTGAAAGCTCTATAAAAACATTTACTTTTTTCAGTGCCAGGTGATGTCTCCTCTTTCATGTCCTTTGAAGAGCTGGATTTTACTTTCCTCTTCCTCTACACTGTTCTACTTTTGAACAATCTAATACTGTTCCAGAGAGGTTACTATACACTAAACATAACATTAGCAACATTACTTTTTTTGGCAGATAGGGTAGTAGTAATTTCTCACTAAAGTATTATCTATAATTGTCAAAAAGGAATACTGTTCCTTTTCAGTTGTTAGAGCTGTTCTTACTTAAAGGACCTGATTACTGGTCTTTTAATAAACATCAAGAGTTAGGGGGAAATACTTCAAAGAATATGTGGTGACCAACTGCCCCGGTCTTATTAGTTTTCAATTTGGTTTCATTCTGCATTTCCTAACTTGTTCTGGACCTTCAAGTATTTATGTTCTCAAGGCCTATTTTCATGCCAAATAAAAAATTAGTTCATGTTTATGAATTGTTCAAAAGTTATTTTGATTTACCTGTTAGTGGTTTAATGGACTCTATTTGCCTTGATGTGCTACAGTTGCTTATTTACTCAGGTATTTGTTTTTTAGTATTTCTTATTTGAGTGCCATTTTTATAAGGGTCTTTGGAGTTTTTCCTGATTATATGCACCATTTTTTCTCAGTTTGTTTGATCTTGTGAACTAGATTATTTGACCACTGAGTTGGCTATGCTTTGGACTTCTGATTTATTTATATGTGCCTTCAGTTGAGTTTGAAGTCAGAGAACATTCAGTTATGGTTGACTAAAGTCAGCTTTTAACTTGATTTTTTTCTTACTGTAATGATTTTTATTAATAGTTACCTGGAATTACAAAGCAGTTTCTGAATCCTGGAATACAGTTCTAAGACACAAAAGGAAATAGAATTATCTCATCCTGTTCACAAATCTGCAAGGTTCCACACTGTATTACTCAATATATTTATTTACATTATTGTTACCACCAAGTACAAAGGTGTAATTCTCATTTTTAATCACTGTTTTTAATACCAGTACTGCTATATTTTCCATTGTTAACATGGATTTATTCATCTGCTGTTCCCTTTACTGTGTTTAATTGTTTTGTCTTTCTTAGGGCCTCACTTCTTCAGGAAAGCGGTCAAGTTTGCTTATGTGATACTTTCAATGCCTTGAACTGTTGGCAGGACAAAGAGAACAAGTTCTAAATACCTCCTGTGACAGGCCTGGGTACATACAGATGCCTGTCCTACACCCTTCACTTGCTGCCAAATCTTCCCAGAGCAGCAAGACTGCACCCTGCCTATCACTGAGATCTCAGATGCAGTTAAACATCCTTTTTCCATTTGGGTGCCCACAGAAACACACTTGTATTCACAGCCTCTGCAAGCCACACAGTTGGATTTGTTCAGTTTAGAAGTTGAGTTCTGTTGGTTTTTTTTTTCTCTGTACCAGTATTTCCTTTCCAGAAAATTGCAGGAGGCACTGCAATACTGCCAGTGATGTGTTAGAGAGAATGTTTAGGCTGTTTTCTGAGAGGTGATGCTGAAGACCTCTCCTTGAGTTCTGCTTCAGAGGAAGTGAGAAGAGAGGGATTCCCCCTTTCCTCTAGAAAAGTGTCTAGGCAGAGGATGATATGTTTTGGAGGGGAACTAGCAGGTGGTTTGCATATGCATGGCTATTTGAATTCCTTCAGCCCTTGCTGAAAGGTCTACCTTGCTTCTTTCCAGAAGAAACTATCCTGGTCCTTCCAGCATAATTCCTCTTGATCCCCCAAAACTTTCCATTCATATTTTAACACAATTTCCTTTTTTTGGGAACAGCTCACTCTGAGCCTAGCTCCCAGCATATCCACCTTATTTCATCACACATTTATGAGAGGCTGTGTCCTTGGCTTCTATTGGCAAGAAGATGATTAGGGGACTGAATAAAGGCTGAGAGAGCTGGATCTGTTTAGCATGGAGGAGACTGAGGGGGAATCTTATTACTGCTTATAAACATCTAAAGGGCAGGTGTGAGGAGGATGGGACCAGATTTTCGCGGTTATGCCCAGGACAAGGTGCAAATGTCATAAACTACAACACAGGATGTTCAACTTAAACATAAGGAAAAAACTCTTTACTGTAAGGGTATTAGAGCACTGGAATAGGCTGCACTGGAGTCTCCTTCTGTGGAGGCATTCAAAACCCACCTGGATGTGTTCCTGTGTGGTCTTCTCTAGGTGATCCTGCTATACCAGGGAGGTTGGACTAGACTATCTTTTGAGGTCCCTTGCAACCCCTACCATTCTGTGATTCTATGATACAAACACACTTCCCTTCAATGCCTTTTACTGCAAGCACGCCAAAGGTCTGTTTCTTGCACCTGCCATTGTATGACACCAACATCTGGTTAGCAGCTGCTACAGAGAAATGCTGAGAAGTTGGTATTCTCTATCAGTTGTTTTTTTGTCTAATCTGCTGCAGAGCTGCTCCAGGGTGAGCCTAGCACCACAGTAATACACTGCTTCATCTCCTTGATTTGCTGCCTGGATCTGCAGTGTGATTCTGTTCTGGGAGCTCTCCACTGATCCCTTAAAGCGACCCTCAAAACCTTCTCCATAGATGTCACCCTCCCGGTAAATCCAGTCCAGAGTGCCACGTGGCCCCTGTCGGTACCAGTACATGTAGTATTTTCCCATATTGTCTCCACTCATGCTGCACTGGAAGGTGACTCCATGACCATCTCGCACAGCCAGTTCCCTGGTGTGTTGCTCCAAAGCCACCTGGCCTGTGACTGCTGCAGAGAGCGAGAACAAACCATCATCACTTCACGATTCAGCACAGGTAAGGCCAAGGCTGGTGGGGACATTGCAATGGCACTGGACCAGTGGGAGGACTAAATCATTCTCTTTGAACCCAGCTGACAAAGGTGGGCAGAGGAATAGAGCTGGTAGCAGGAATCAGAGCTCACAAGGAAGGAAACATCACATTCCCCTCCTCACTTCCTCCTGGCAGACGAGGAACTTTTTATGATTTTCCCATTAGGAGCAGGAACATTTTGCACCATGGGGGAGAAATCCCTTTGTCTTTGCCAAACTGGCGTGGTGAGACACCCACTCTCTTGTCCCTGAAACTGCTCTGCAAGCACAGAGGAGGGACAAGGACCTGTGACAGGCAAGTGGGACTTGAGCCCTACGCTGCCATTTTTAACGTGGTCTTTGCAAGATGGGCTGCAGTGCCCACAAGCAGAGTGCCGGTCCTAGTGCAAATCCCCAAGATGGAGTAGCAGGTAGGCGCCTTGCCTGTCCCCACCTTGCATAGGAGGCTAGGCTAGATGGAGGTGCCTCACTCACAGCTAGAAGAGCAGGCGGGCCTTCCCCACTGTGCTCTGCAGGGATGGGTGGGGAAAAAAAGCTGGCGAGCAGGTCAGGCTGCAAGCGGTCAGCATGGCTCCACAGAGCTGTGCAGAGCACAGGGGCATACTCAGTTCCTGAGAGTCATCACCCCTTTCTTCCACTTACCTATAATGTGCAAAATCCCCACACACGTGGCAGTCCACATGGCCAGGCCTACTTGGTCTCGCCTCTCTCCAGCTTCTCTCTGCCTGCAGAACAGCTCTGCCCACATCTTCCCTGTCTGTACCTCTGTCACTCTACTCAGTCCTAGTCCCTCCCTCAGTCTACGACAGCAGTGAAAGTGAGAGGTGGGGCTGCAGGAGCAGAAGTTGATGCTGCTGGTTCACTCCTGGGTGTGTCTCACCCTACAGAGTTCAATAACAGAAGGTTCATTTGCCAGGAAAAGCTCTGTTGGGCAAAAGGTGATGCATTGCTCTAGAGCCACACTGACCTTTCCCTGAAAAAGGAGAGCTAGGGGTTTGTAGATCTTAAGATCTGGCCCTGAGGATGGAAAGCTGTTCTCCCAGGGGGCCCCTGTCCTTTGCTGTTGCTGAGCTGCTGCTTAAGGATAGGACGGACCTCCCTGAGCCCAGCCCCACTTGTTGACAGAGCACCCCTAAGCAGACATGCTCCCCATCCCGCTCCCTCCACTCTGGCCCTACACTCTACTGTTCCACTCGGTCCCTCATGCTGATACTTCTCCACCTGTCTCTTCCCATCAAAGCCCTCCCAGACCCCCTAGGCAGCAAAGGCAGTAAAGGGCAGGTGAGATCCAGAATATGCTTGGTGCTGAAGGTGTGGAGTAGATGTGTAGGTTCAAGCCCCCTAGCTTGTCCCCCAAAACTCATATGCACAGGACTCAGCATTGACCAGGCTGTTGGGGCTCCTCAGCAAAGCAGGGACACTCCCTTTTCCATGCTCAGACTACACAGCAGGAACCTAGAGCTCCCCCTAGGACATTTGCAGTTACAGGATGAGACACCTACTAAGCCCTGACACAGGGTCACTGTCTTAATGGGTACCACCATTGTGGGGAACACTGCCCATTCCATAGACTGCCTGAATCCTTCCCCTTACCTCTCTTTTCACAGTTACTCCAACATGGCTCCTTGGGGAAAGAATCCAGGACAGGCATGCGAAGGGGAGTTGCAGGGGGTAGAGGAGGCTTAACTGGAGGCTTAAGGCTGGGAAAAGAAACAGAGGAAGGCCAGGCCAAGGTGGCCTAAAGTGCACTGGGACACTTGGAGCTGCCCCAGCATAGCAGACTTCTTGGGTTCCTTACAGCACCCAAACCATGGAAGAATGAAATATTGTTCTTTCTTAGGGCACCCTCCATATTCTTGCTGGGGTTCCCCTACAAAATTCCATGCTGGCTCTTAGTGTACACACATGAGCATATATGCAGACAGAGTCAACACTAATATCACAACAAAGAGATCATTCATCATGTCCAGGGAAAAGACACACTGCAGCTCAGGTCCTGCTGTTGCACTACTCTGGAGCTCCCTGAACGACATAAAGTTTTGAAACTCAATTAATCTCTGGCTTTCCATATTGAAATTTTTGTTCTTTTTTGCTTGCTGTGAGTCTTCCTAAAAACAATTTCCCTGTTGCTTTCTACCTGTGTGAGACATAGAGAAGTATAGAAGAACGTTAACATCATGCTTGTGGGTTTGTACATGCTTGTGGGATGCTGCTGCTGCTGCAGCAGCACCTTTGTGCTTGTTTCTGGGAAAAGTCAACCCAGACCAGTCTTGAGAAACTTTCTTGCAGGCAACCACAGAAGAACTGGCTGGATTTAAGCCCCCTCCTTCCAGTTCTGCTCTGGTCCTGCCTACGTTTCAAGCACTGTGCCCTTTGCCAGCTTTCTTGTGCTGCAGAAATAGGTGGCTGTGTCTGCAGCTGCTGGTGAGAGCACTTCCAGTGACAGCTGGTTCCTGGACATGTCTGCAGAGCTGGTAACTTGGGTCTGGAAGGATGGAGCAATGTGCTGGAGTCCAGTGAAAGGATACTGCAGCACTATATGCTGCAGCTCTCTGCCAGGAGTCTGACGGATCCAGTCCCAAGCGTAGCTGCTGTCGCTGATGGGTACACCAGAGATGCGGCAGGAAAGCACGAGAGACTCTGAGACCTTCCCTACTTTGGGGCCTGAGGCCTCTGTCTGCACCTGAGAAAGGGCACCTGCAACCCCAGGAGACAAGGATGAACAGGCAGGAACAGCTCAAGCAATCGCTTCATCTATTCCACCACTTCCCTGGGCTTCTTCTTTGATCTCCAGGACCCAGCAGCTGAAAACACACATTCTCTCAAGCTCTTGCTCTTGCTCCTGCTATACTTTCAGATCTGGGAGAGAAGCACAGAATTCCCCGTTCTCACAGTAAACACCCCAATGACCCTCTGTACTTTTCCTGTTTCCTCTGCCTTTCAATGGAGAAAACTCATGGGCTGGACGGAGTGAACGTGAGCTGTGCCTAAAAGCAGACCAGGGCTATTCACACTCCCCACCAGTCTGGTCATGACTGGGCACTCACCCTACTGGGAAATGATGGAAACAGCAAAACTTGTTTCCAAAGGTGAAGCAGTGTGAGAGTGTAAAACAAGAGGGTTTGCATGACACATGGACAGATGGCAAGCAGAAGAGCTTGTTGAGGGACAGAAACAGGTAGTATGCCCCAGTCAATATTAAAATGTCACAGAATCACAGAATGTCAGGAGTTGGAATGGACCTCAAAAGATCACCTAGTCCAACCTCCCTGCCAGAGCAGAATGACCTAGACTAGGTCACACAGGAACACATCCAGGTGGGTTTTGAATGCCTCCAGAGAAGGAGACACCATAACCTCTCTGGGCAGCCTGTTCCAGTGCTCTGTCACCCTCACAGTAAAAAAGTTTTTCCTTATGTTCACCTGGAACCTCCTATGCTCCCGCTTGCACCCATTGCCCCTTGTCCTGTCATTGGACATCACTGATAAATGTGTGACGCAACTTCAATACTCTCTGAGAGCAGCCCTGAACAACTGTGCAAATCACTTCCCTTCCAACTCTGAGGCCCAGGACTGGTACTGTTTGTGTTAAAGCTCAGATGGATTTCCTACCCCCGTGAGAATGGCACAGAAGTAGCGGGCCGAGTCCGAGGGGCGCAGGGCACGCAGGAACAGAGATGACTCAGAACGGGAATTGTCCCGGGACACCTCGGCTCGACCCTCCACTGCTGCTCCGTACTGCTTTGTACTTTCCGAGTAGCTGAGGAAGGACACCCACTCGGGTCTGCCACCGGGTGCCTGACGGTACCACCAAATGCGATAACTCCCGAAGGCGAAGCCGGACCCCCGGCAGGAGAGGAGCACGGAGTCCCCGGGCGCTCGCAGCCCTCCGCCGGTCTCCACCAACCTCAGCTGCGCCCACACCCCTGCGGACAGAGAGCA